GGGGGGTCTATCGTCAAATGCACAGAACAACTATGTGGTTCTGTTATTCATAATCGATATTCCTGGCGTAAAACGAAGTTTTGTTAAAAATAGCCCATACAACTACTTTAAAAAGAAATAAACAAGTCAGGTCTTAATTTCCATTCCTGAAGATTCTTCAACAGAAGTTGTAATTGGTCGAATCCTTTTGATATTTTCAGGGTCGTCGTGTGCTGACAAGAATGCAAATTGTCCGTCTTGGCGAAACAAGGGTTATTGTCGTGGAAAGTTTGCGATGTACACGAAGGAAAATTGTCCAAAATCTTGTGGCAATTGCTGAAGACGAGGTAGGAGAGAAATAGCGTCATATTTTTACTTCAGTTGTTTTTTTATCTAATGTCGATTACGTAGTACTTCATTAACACTGAATTATTCTCAGAGAAACAAGAGAAAAGTTCCAACAGGATTTCTTGAAAAAGTTGACTTTAGGCGGCGTTGATTTTTGACATCGTCAGGACACCCCGTTCTACCTATTGAGCTATCAAACCAACGGTGAATGGGAGTGAATTTACTCCATTTTAAGTGCTGCACGAAATATTTTCGCGATTACACGAGTCCCGAGTTCAAATCCCATTCGAGTCAACTTTTACAGCACAAGAAATCATGTTGGGTGTGGTAATCTGAGCACATACCCCCGTTTTCCTGCCTTAAACACAACCGCTAATTTTAGGGGCAGCAAAACGAAGGTGTGCACTCAGGCTAAGGTTGTGGTTGCCCAATTCACCCGAGAGGCTCGTGATGTTCTCAACAAAGGCCTAAGGGTTAGTTCTCGGATATTGGGGGAAAGCGAAGGATCATTAAGGGTCATTAAGTAAGGACACGCTATCCGTGCTGCCCAAATTAAAATACACATAGCGAATATTCAAGATTGGATGAATAAATGTCTGACACATCTCTTATTCTTGAATTTTAGGCTATTAATCATACTGGAGACTGGACCACACCATGCGCAAACACTTACATATCTCGTAGCAGATCATTTTTGTATTAGTTTTTGTAGATTTCAATTTGTCAATAAAGGGAATAAAATATATAGAATTTGTAGTGTTCTTATTCTTTGTGAAACAAAATAAAGAAAGGTGCACACAAGGGAATATATTTTGTAATTTAAACCGAATCAAACGTGCGAAAACTAAGGCCTGTTTCAAACGTCGCGCTTCTCATGTGCCGAACGCATTAAAAACAATAGATAATGAGGCATTTCAGCTGATTAACTATTGTTTTTAATGTGTTCGGCACATGAGAAGCGTAACGTTTGAAACGGGCCTTATTGTTCTTTGGACTTTGAGCAACTTTTTGCATATCCAAATGGTGCTTGAACAGTTGAATAATTTGATATGCATATATTCTAATTCGTTCACCCTCAGCTACATGTATGGTTCAAACTTCTGAAGCGTTATTAGGGTCATAATTCAAACAGAAATTCTACTGTGCTAACACTCAATATATTTTTCTTTTACTCGAATAACACAATTTGAATAATTTGAAATTGAATAACACAATTTGGAATCAAGAACTTCTTTTTCAAAAGCCAGAACTCTGTCATTTCAAATGCCAAACTCTGTTTTCAAATCCCAAAACTCCTTTTTCAAAAGTCAGAACTCCGTTTTCAAATGTTAAAACTCTGTTTTCAAATGCCAGAACTCCCTTTTCAAATGCCAAAACTGAGTTTTCAAATGCCAGAACTCCCTTTTCAAAAGCCAGAACTCCCTTTTCAAAAGCCAGAACTCCCTTTTCAAAAGCCAGAACTCCCTTTTCAAAAGCCAGAACTCCCTTTTCAAATGCCAGAACTCCCTTTTCAAAAGCCAGAACTCCCTTTTCAAAAGCCAGAACTCCCTTTTCAAAAGCCAGAACTCCCTTTTCAAAAGCCAGAACTCCCTTTTCAAATGCCAGAACTCCCTTTTCAAAAGCCAGAACTCCGATTTCCAATGCCAAAACTCTGTTTTCAAATACCAGATTGAGATACCGTATTGAACTCTGTTCTTAAATGCCAGATACCGTATTGAAATGCCAGAACTCCGTTTTCAAATGCCAAAACTCTCAAACACAGTTTTCAAATGCCAGTCAATATATCAGTTTTCTTTTACTCGAATAACGCAATTTGAATAATTTGAAATCGAATAACACAATTTGGAATCAAGAACTCCTTTTTCAAATGCCAGAACTCCGTCATTTCAAATCCCAAAACTGCCTTTTCAAATGCCAGAACTCCTTTTTCAAAAGTCAGAACTCCGTTTTCAAATGCTAAAACTTTGTTTTCAAATGCCAGAACTCCCTTTTCAAATGCCAAAACTGAGTTTTCAAATGCCAGAACTCCGATTTCAAATGCCAGAACTCCGTCTTCAAATATCAGATACCGTATTGAAATGCCAGAACTCCGTTTTCAAATACCAGAACTCCGTTTTCAAATGCTAAAACTCCGTTTTGAAATGCCAGAACTCCTTTTTCAAATGCAAAAAGTCAGTTTTCAAATACCCAGTTTTCAAATGCCAGAACTACCTTTTCAAAAGCCAGAACTCCGTTTTCAAATGCCAAAACTCTGTTTTCAAATGCCAGATCTACCTTTTCAAAGTAAACCTACACAGCAAAAAACGCCCAGCCTGTAACAATGTTGATGAAAACAGGCCTGAACAATATTTTGCTGCCCATATTGTTCCTGGTTGTTAACAATATTGTTCACCATTGTTCAGCTTGAACAATATTGTTACCAACCAGGAACAATACGGGCAGCAAAATATTGTTCAGGCCAGTTTTCAACAACATTCATGTAGGCTGGGCGTTTTTTGCAGTGTAATTCAGACCAGGGATTCAGACATGTCCGGAACAATACTTCGTGTAAGTCTGCTTGTAAAAGGATAGTACAAATGACGTAATTGGGTTGTTCGATTTCAAAGTGTTATTCGATTTCAAAATGTTATTCGATTTCGAATTGTGCTATTCGATTTCAAATTGTGTTATTCGATTTCCAATTGTGTTGTTGTTCAAATAAAATTTCTATTTGAATTACGACCCTATATAATAATGCTTCATACAAACTAAAGGGCTCTGTCACGAAAATGAGGCTCCATAGCCAAAGTTAATCCAACTTCCAAGGTTATCCGGAGCTCCGGATATCAGAGTTCATAGGTCCAAAATCTGACTCGCTGTCTTGTTAACAATCATGTGTTAACTGTGATTAATATAATTATAAGCGGTGACTATTTTACAACAAAACGAAGTGCAAGACTTTCCTTATATTACTATTGCAATACATACAAAACATTCTTAGCACTATTAAAAAAAGGAATCCAACAATAATTTAAAGGTATCATGAGAGAATCCATTTAATGACCACATCTTACTATCCACACGAAGATTGGTGCTGGTCAACATTTAAATTTACATCAGAAACGTTTCACACTTTCCTGTGGTCAACATTTATAGTTATATTTCAACATTTACATCAAAAAAATTTTCTGATATTCCTATTTCTCTTTGGTCAACATTCATATTTACATGTTACATCTATATTTACATGTGAACATTTATTTTTACATCAAAATACATTTCTGCATGTGATTTTCACATTTTTCTTTAAGAGCAAGTAGATCGGCGTCGTTTTCGTCTAACATTAAACCATGTTCACAAATACTGTGCGCCTTCTCGTAGTCCTTTCGAGCATGCGCTATACGTGCAGAGGTCAGAAATATCCCGAGTGTAGGATCGTTTCCAGGACGAGAAGCAATCATATTCCGCGCGGTATTCGCGTCCCGTTCAAGTGCAAAGATGAAATCCCGACATGCCTTCTCGTCGTCTTCATCCATCATGTAGGCAACTGCGCGTGCGCAAAAATCACTAATTAGTGGATTTGGTAGCGCAAGAACCGCGCTTAAATCCCGAATTGCGCGTGTGTATTCCTGGAGGTTCTCCAAACATTTCCCTCGCGCGCGCAAAATTCCCGCGTCTCGACAACACGAAGCAGCCACGGCTATTGAATAGAACTTCAATGCTTCACCATTTTGCTCTCTTTTCTTTAAAAGTTCTCCTTGTGTAAATGACGTATGCGCGAGTTTACTCTTGGCCCCTTCGTTCACCGCCTGTACACAGAACGCAAGCGTTTCCCAATCTTCCGCGAGTTTCGAGAGCTCGTACATCGCCGCCTCGTAGTCGTCGACCTTCGTGAAAAGTACAGAAATCCTGGCTGTAATGGATACATCAAGAGGCGATAACTCCTGCGCTGTTTTGAGTGTCGTAATCGCTTCGGGAAAGCGTCTATGTACGATCAAAGCATCGCCTAAGATGCTAAGATACTTTGGATTCTGAGGAGATAAGCAGACGAGAAGGTTGGAGAGAAGTAAGAGAGACTCTCCACAGGTCATAGGACTGTCTTCTTGAATCGTGGACGCTACATCGCCATTCTTTCCGCAATACGCAAACGCGATTTGTAGATACTTCTCTAAAGTGAATAACACCATTCGGAGTCTTAGTTCCGGTAGTGAGGACAAAAATCGGGTGGTTGCTGGGATGTTTGTATGCAGACTGAAGAGAATGTCACGACTTGCAGCCAAGTACTCTTGTAATCTCACATATACGCATGCGCGTCCGCACCGAGCCTCGACACACGAGGGCGCACGTTTTAATACAGCAGTGAAATCGCTGATAGCTTTCAAATAATGTTGTAACTGGACCAGACACCGTGCGCGGGCTAAGAACGAATCTGGGGCGTGGCATGACGCTGCTGCTATAGCAATGCCAAAACAATCAATTGCTTCACAGTACCTCTCTTCGCGGGACAAAGTAAGCCCACGCGTGTGCGCCTCGCGAGAAATCTGCGCACGTTCTTTCTTCGGGAACTCAGAAAACTCGGCTGCTAAGCTCTCCTCGTCAACTTCTCGTAGGACGCTACAAAATCCCTCCATTGCAAGTTCGGTATTTCCGAGTTTCAGGCGAAGTGCGGCGAGATGTACAATTGGTAGGCATTCGCTAGGCGAGTTCTTTATCATTCGTAACATTATCGCTTGGGCTTCATCTGGCATATCCATGGCAACAAGCACGTCACTATACTGCAAGTAATAATCAAGTTTTGTGGGAGAAATGTTAACAAGTAGATCACACAACGATATTATAAGTTTAGACATTGCTTTGATACCAGGCTTGGTTTTCTTCATGCATTCATGAATATACTTCTCAACCCCATGTGTAATGATCCGATATTGCTCGTCTGTAAACTTCTTCAACACTTTTACTGTACGAGAGGAGCTAACCGAGCAAGCAAAGCTTACATCTTGAACAGCTTTTCCAGGCTTCTTTATCAAGAAATTTAAATAACTCTTGCAACAGTGAAGCTCGATTGAATTCGCTTGTAGGTGTGACGCACACTCGAGATCTGTTTGCGCCATTGTGAAATTCTTCATGCCCAGATATGACATCGCACGTTCGCAGAGTAAATGAACTGACGGCGTCTTACGAATGGCTTCCGTCAACAAGGCTACAGCGTCTTCGTGTTTTCCTGCGACCTAAAATCGTAAAGAGGAATTGTAAGTCTTATATACAGGGAATCATTACCGTGAAGGATATCTGATACAAAAGCATTTCTGGTTACTCCAATTTTTAAAACATTTCTGATTATTTCGTAACTTTAAGTTCCAAACATCATTCACGCATTTAAGATTCTCGAACAATATGGACATTTTCATCAAAAGAAAACATATATATGCTGTACATATTACTCATATTACTTATTGCCTTTGTAACAAGTTCACTGAATACTGATGAGAGTGAAGTTTAAAATTTTTACTTTAAACTCTAGTGTACTTCAGGGATAGATGCAGCATGAACTGGTAAGGAGGGGGGAGGGGGTGCTCTGCCAGCTCTGGTGCCGAGTTGCGTCGGTAATGTGCGCCGCCCGCCCATCAACTACTGTATTTGAATTGTAATTGTTGTTCACAGTTCGCTTATCATCATGTTATTACTCCGTTACTGTATCTCATTTTGTCTCCAATATATTTTT